TATCCCATCGTACTACCCCCTTCCCCTCCCTCTTTTTAAGCTGAAAGAGTAGAAGAAAGACTGCTATTATGCATTGTGCAATTCTTCTTGTTTTCTTCAGTTTATGACTTGTCCTTGTTTTGCAGATGTTTTGTCTACGTTTTGGCTATGTTTTGGCTATGTTTGGTTCATGTTTTGTCTTTGTTTTTTCCTTGTCTGTTTTCATTTTTTTTCAGGCTTTGTTAATATTGTTCATGTTTTGTTTATGTTTTTCATGTTTTGTTAATGTTTTTCATGTTTTCTCCATGTTTTCTTCTTATTTTGTCATGTTTTGATTACGTTTTGGTTTTGTTTTTGATTTGTCTGTTCTGTTCTTGTTTTGTTGATGTTGGGTTGATGTTTTGTTGATATTTGTTGTTCATTTTTTCATGTTTTCGTAACTAGTGGCTGACGTGACTCTCAAGCGGTAAACTGTGGTGCAAACATTAATTTATGAGGTTGGTGGGCGGTTGCTCTAGTGCGGTTTGTTCCTTCTTTCGTATCTCTTATATTCTTTGTATGTAACTCCCCAGCCGTAACACCTCTAATCTTTGGCATATATTATATGACATGATATTTGGTTTACATGTGCTGTAAAACCTTTTTCTAACCATGTAATTCCCAAAAATTTCATAACTGGTCCAGTTATGCGCGGGGCCGGAGTGGAAAGTTTGCCGGAGAGGGGCATTAGTGGTCAGAGGTGTTACTAAAAGGGTCAGGAACTAGGCCGAATGGGGTCATAGTGACTGCCAGCTAGGCCAACGACATAGAGACTGCATTCCTTGTTGTTTTGAAACACGTTTTGTTTGGGTATTTTTATTTTGGGGGCTACATAACCTTGTTTTGGAGGTGGTGGTTATTGAGCAAAGTCGGTCCTGCATGATAAACAGAAAGAAGGTAGGGAGAGAGAGGGGGAGAGGAGAGCGAGAGAGGAGAGAGAGGGGGGAGGGAAGGAGAGAGAGGGGAGAGGAGAGCGAGAGATGAGAGAGGGGGAGGGAAGGAATCTGGCTTGCTAATCCTTCTCCACACCTCCTCTCTCTCTCTCTCTCTCTCTCTCTCTCTCTCTCACACACACACACACACACACACACACATA